TTAATTTTTGGTGTAACAATTAACTAAGGAGCACTCTATCGAAAGCCATTAATAGTATTTGAAAATTTTATACATGGTGTCCGGTATTTACGTTGACTTTTTTGTCACTTAAAATACCAATAACTTTCTTATTTCAAATGAAACTACCATACAATTTTCATATTATTGGACACAAAATAATGTTTTCTATTGAAATGCTGCAGCATTCCCTATACCTAAAATCAATATTTACAGAGATATTACAAAAAATGTGAAAAAAACCGCTTATTTTTTTATTTCTAATATGAGTAGTGTGCGTTGGATTGTCTTTTATTTCGTATTTATGAAGTAATGTCAATGTCAACGTCTCTGACAATTGTGTTACAATGGATGATAATAATTAGGTACACCAATCAAGATATCCTAAACATGTTTTATACATATGGCGAGTGCGGAAAAGTTTTAGAAAGGACAATAAGAACTTTTAATGAGAGGTATCCCAATTTAACCCCACTCACCAAAATTAAATACCGGACGATAGAGAATAGATTTATTAATCATGGCGCAGTAAAAGTAAAACGAAATAGGCAAAAACTGGTGACAGGCAACGAAGATAATCAAATCAACGTCTTGGGATTTTTAAATGCAGAGCCCCAAGGGTCCATCAGAGGAGTTGAAGCTGCCCTTGGCATTCCGTATACATCTGCCCAGCGGATACTTAAGAATACCGGAATGCACAACTACAAGTTCCTAAAAGTGCAAGGCCTTAAAGATGCAGATTTTCAAAGAAGGGAGCGGTTTTGCACGGAGTTTCTAGGCAAAGTTGATGAGGATAACTCTTTTCTGGGAAAACTTATATGGATAGACGAAGCCAAATTTTTCAGAGAAGGCATTGTTAATTCAAGAAATCAACACTTTTGGTGTGCTGAAAATCCACATGTGGTCCGGCAAGGGAATTTCCAAAAAAAAATTAGTTTTAACTTTTTTGTCTTTTGATGAAGGATCAATTTTCATTTTGTATCTACGAAGAGAACCTGACATCAGAAAAATACCTGGAAATATTGAATTCGACGGTAAGAGAATTTTTGTATGAACTGCCTTTAAGCGAAAGGTTTCTTTGCTGGTACCAATTGGATGGCACGCCGGCACATTGTTCTAGAAGAGTTTTGGAAAATTTGCAAATATTATTTAACGAAAAATGGATTAGAAGAGGTGGTCCATGGGAATGGCCTCCAAGGTCACCGGACCTAACACCTCTAGATTTTTATCTTTGGGGTGTTATAAAAGCTAAAGTTTATCAAACACCCAGCAACAGCAAAGAATCTCTTGCTCAGAAAGTGAGACAAGCGTTTTCGGAATTGACCCATGAAGAAATTTTGAGAACAACTTCTGAAGGTGTCTTGCGACGTATCAATATGTGTCGTGAACAACACGGGCGATACATTGAAGAATTACTTTAGCTTTGTTTTATTTGTTACATTTGTTTATTTTTTATATATAATTTTTGAATTTTAAATTGATATTTCTTTTAACGTTGTTTAATACGAAATAAAAACAATCCAACGCACAATACTGATTATACACATTAAAAGTTCCTATTGTTCTTTCTAAAACTTTTCTTTTTCGATTTGTGTAATTATTATCATCCATTGTAACACAATTGTCAGAGACGTTGACATTGACATTACTTCATAAATACGAAATAAAAGACAATCCAACGCACACTACTCATATTAGAAATAAAAAAATAAGCGGTTTTTTCACATTTTTTGTAATATCTCTGTAAATATTGATTTTAGGTATAGGGAATGCTGCAGCATTTCAATAGAAAACATTATTTTGTGTCCAATAATATGAAAATTGTATGGTAGTTTCATTTGAAATAAGAAAGTTATTGATATTTTAAGTGACAAAAAAGTCAACGTAAATACCGGACACCCTGTATAAAATTTTCAAATACTATTAATGGCTTTCGATAGAGTGCTCCTTAGTTAATTGTTACACCAAAAATTAACTTTTTAACATTACAATTAGTGGTAATACAGACATATTAGTAAGACAATCCATCTGTCAAAATTTAAAAAAAAATTAAATACAGTGTATTTTTTGAATGTGTGTGATTGCGTCATCAATTGGGTCGTATGAATTAAACCGAAACTAAAATTAGAGTCAGTAGCGTATCATTTTGAAGGGGTCTAAGCATTTATTGTGGGTGTATTTTTGGTTGCCTAATGTCGCCTCATAGTTACGCAACTCAAAATACATACAATTAATAGTTATTTTAACTTTATTAATGTAAATTATGCAAGTTTTATAAACGAATAACAATAAACATACACAATTTTTGTACATAATATTATGTACATACATATAATATATTATAAGTTAATTACAATTACATTATTATTAAAATAAAATGTTATGGGAGAACGAAAACAAAATTACTAAAAGTCATCCTCGTCGGAACTGTCTTCTCCGAGGTGGATAACTAGTCTTTTGGAACCAATCGTCAATTAATTTGTTGGTGTGCCTCACTACTTAACACCAACGTTCTGGCGTGCATTGGTTCAGTGCTTGGCCCCACATTGCTAGCACTTTATTGTCCATCACAATCAGTGAAGGTTCCTTTGACCCTAAAGTAAACATGCTCAGTAGAAACAAGCCTAACATAGCTTACCTCTTGGACACAGTTTAGTGGGAGCAGGGGTTCCTCATGCTCCAGTTCCCTTTGAAAATATTGCACTAAATTAATAATAAAACGTTTCTGATTATCGTCCAAACGTTTGCAAGACATTTTTTAAAACCTGTCAAACTTCCAAAATCTGTTATTTTATGCCAAATTACTGTATGAACGCCACTGACTAACCTTCAAATTTTGATAAATTTCGGCTCAATGCCACAACAAACTATACGCGCTCTGCCCTTTTTCAGCATAAGCCGCGTGAGCGCGACATCGGATTGACGTTTGTCGTAAATTACGTTTAATTGTGTCGCCATCTGCTGGTTTAGCGGATCCCGATACGTTTTAGAATTTCGGTTGAACTTTTACAAAGAAAAAAAAAGACAGCTACACATTTTAATGTCTTTGTTTGGTTCAGCAATTGATGACGCAATCACACACATTCAAAAAATACACTGTACCCAGTGATGTAACCGATACATTTTTTTCAGTATCTAGGTACCGATACAGATACTCTCTGGTAGATGTATCTGGGTACAGATACCGATACATTTTCCCAAAAGTATCTGGGTACAGATACAGATACATTCAAAAAGTATCTAAGTTACTTCCAGATACTATGTTAAAAAAAACTTAAAAATTAAATGACAAAAAAAAAATTTTTGGACCTTATAAACAAGCGTGTTAACTATAAAATAAAACTTTTTTGATAAAATTGACGAAATATCCATGAAAAACGGAAATAAATTTTATATTTACGCGCCATATGAAAGCTTACCACAAAATTTGTAGTACAAATTCAAAATAAAATGTATCTTGTATCTAAGGATCTAGATACTTTCAAAAGGATCTAGATACTAAAGTAGATCCTGATTTTTTTAAGTATCTCGATACGTATATAGGTACATAAAATGTATCTAGATCCAGTATCTAGATACATGTATCTCGATACATTACATCACTGACTGTACCTATGTCAAAAACTGTTAAAAATAAAAAAAATAATTAAATTTTAGTATTTCTAGAATTTTACGTAGAATTCAAAAATGCAATAATATTTATATGGTTCCATTTGAAAAACCAAAGTTGATAACACTTGGCTTATAATTGCTATACAAATTTCAAATCGATATCTTTTTTCGTTCTCCATAAACTTCTAATGAATAAGTTAGGTGAATCACCCTGTATATATATATATATATATATATATATATATAAATTATTATGATATCTGTAATGTCACTAGTTTTAATTAATTTAATCCTTTTTTATGATGAACAGTTTTTTAAATGGATTATACGATATCTCGTATGTGATATTTAATTATCGATTATTTCGTCTACGCTTTTGTTTAATTTTGTTCGGGTTCCTCACCAGCATCGATAGACAGCTGTTTTGCTCTATTGGAGCTTATCAGTACCGAGTTTTTGTAAGGTGCGGGATATAAACGAAATTATGCGTTATTCAGTAACGAGCAAAACATATAGACCACTTCAAAAGACAGTAGGTGGCACCACTTACTTCGTCTCACAGCAGTGAATGATTCCAAGACCTATATAGCATAATCATAATTTCGTTTGTGCTCCGCACCATACAGCAACTCGGTACTGATGAGCTCCAATAGAGCGAAACAGCTCTCTATCGATGCTGGTGAGGAACACGAACGAAATTAAACAAAAGCGGAGAAGAAATAACTAATAACCTAATTAATAACTAATAACCTAATTAATGTTTTGTTTTATTTTTGGATTATATGAAGTAAAGAAATACCATTAACTTAAGTTAAATGTTATTTTTAATTTTTTTAAATGTTTATGGCCTACTAGATACTTTTTTCAAGCAAGCGATTCCACGATGCAAGCAAATGATTTCTAAAAACTGAATACCTATCAGCCTTTAAAAACAACGATGGTAGGTTGTGGTTTAGTAAAATACGAATAACTTTAAAGTATTTTTCCAGTTAGTAGTCAATAAATACCACTAATGCATCGGTTTAACTTACCTACTGATTTATTTGCATATCGATACACTTTTCAGACCAAGCTCGTATTTTAGTTATAACCGCATATCAATACATTGCTATGCATATATGCAAAAAACTGATTTTTAGTTTTTTATTTGAAAACAGTTTGTCGGACGAAAAAAAAACCAAAATTTAAATTTAAATTAATGACGCCCCTATGCCTCTAAATTGGGTCAGATTCCTTGGATGTATAATAATATAATAATAAAATAAAATCTGCATTTTTTTTTGCATTTCCCGTTTGGCGTGAAATGTCGCATAGGTATATGTATTTTAACCAAATACAAAATTTTATAATGATTGTATACCAATACTTACTGGTAGACTATAGTTAAGATAATTGAATAAGTTAACGTACAAATAAAAACTTTCATCTTGTTTTATTGAGTAAGGAACAGTAACGTCAACAAAAAATGGCTGAAAGGCGGTAATTTCGAATTCTTTGCTAAAACCAACACCATTAATGGGTGATACACACATTACATTAGTAACCCAGGTGGTTATTGAATGTGGTAAAAATCTTTCCAATTCTTTGGTTACTCCCCTAAAAAATATGAAATAATTTTTATTATAATTTACCTAAATTAAAAAGTATTAGTATTATTATTACTTTTCTACTTTAACCAAATCCCATAGCCAAGTCTCTGGAAAAAAAGATCTTATTGGTAAACCTTTTTCTTCATTTTGATCGTCATACTTCGTATTTTCAGGTATTAAATTAAATTCTAAAATTAAAAGATAAAACAAAGTATAACACCATTTTTTAAAATTTACCATTAGGAAGCACTGGTCCTGTGTAGCAAGGTTTTGTTACGGTTTTTAGGTTTGTTATTACAATAGTCCCAAATTTCTAAAAACATTTTAAAATTTGTATAAAGTTATATAGTTTTTATTTTAATTTACGTTAAAAATATCAAAAGTATCAAAATCTTCAGCAAAGGAATAAACGAATCTCTTTGTTCTATTATGATGTTCCTTTAGATCATCTTTTTTCAAATAAGATACAGCTAAAATATAAATTTAAAATATTACTGAAATATTTAATATATTTAAAAATAATTTTATTTAAAATAGTTTAACAAACTTGATTAAAATAAACTAAACAATAAAAATAACGTACCTATTTAATTTATTTTAATATTTTTAAATGACCCCATAATAATTGTTTTGTGTGGCCTGATCTTTCTTTTATAAATAAGAACTATTAAATTAAAAATATTAATTCTAATTTATGTAGGAAAAATGAGTCGGAATTAATTATCCCTAGCTGGTTTAGAAAAAAAAGTTATAGAATACATTTGTGAATGAATTTTTAGCACATAAAAATGAAAAATGAGATTGAAAGCAAGGAACCATCTAAAAACATAAAACATGTTTGATATCTCAGAAGTTTTAATTTTTTGTTGTTATAGTAGGTTTTGTTATTATGAGTATGTGATCATTCCTTGACCATTTTCTCGATTGGTGTATTTTAAATACAGTTAAATCCATATTCATAGGTCCTGGAAATACAGTCAACTGTTAATTTAAGTCCTTAATATAAACCTATAAGTAGATAGATCTTACTCTCTAAAATACTTCAAATACTGAAAACTTCTTTTATTGAATAAAGTACGTCATGCAAGAAAAAATAGGAATACCTACTACATTCGCGTAAAATTATGTATAATACGCCAAGAAGCTGTAATTGTTGTATTTTTTTATCTTATTTTTGTTTTAACAATTACAAAACTGATTAAAGCGATGTAAATATTTTCCGAACAAAATTAATGTTCGTAAATCGTTCGAATCGAGCTGAAAAAGGCTGCCGCGCAATTTAAAGGTGTCGCGCGCGCTCGACTTTTGATGATCGAGGCAAGGAATTAAAAAAATATATCCACCAATGTTTAGTCATAAGAATAGTATTTTTTAATAAAAAAAATGGTGATTTACGCCCGGCTACCAAGGTGTTGCGGCAAGGGGTGGAGTGGTAACCCTATACCAATTGCATATGATGAGTTTATTGTTTAAAAAATTAATAAAAACATATTTCCGGCAATGAAAATCAAAGCAATCTATTTATTTGGTTTAATGTCAACTAAATATAAACTTTCATTTTATTGTAAAAATGATATCTAGGAACGATTTTAAGCTATTACATTGGAAAAAAATAGTAGGGGTCCGGACAATTTCGATACAATGGAGCAGGTGTTTCTATTGTTCCCAGAACAAAGGCATTGTAAAGAAATGGTCTTTTTTTGTTAAAAGTGATTTATTTGCTATCTTCTATTGATCACGAAACAAAGGAATAATATTTTAAAAATGATGTACCTATATGCCAGGTCTGAAATTTTAAACGAGTAAGGTAATGTGCTTGTCGACTGATTGCAACTTGTCTGGACTCGTTTGGTTGCACATCTGTACTAAAGGTACTATAGGCCGTCCACATATTACACTACGCTCTAAATTTGTGACGTCACTGGGGGGGCGGGGGTGGCACGTTTTGTGACTTCGTTTGACAACCAGGGTGAATTAATCATCCTGGGTGAGGGGGTCAAAATAGGTTACGGGTCGCGGGACTTAATAAGTAAACGGCCCCTTATAAAAGTAATATAAATAAACATAAATTTATATCCTCTTCGGGCCCATCCTACATGCTACTTAATACTTGAAGAGTAGTAACACAATCCACACAACATGTTGTTTTGTAGGTTTTTGTAAATAATACCCTTTATTTCAAAGATACAGGACAAATTCACGTTAATTACTTGGTAAAGTTGCAACCACCTTGGTTAATTAATTTATATGAGTTAAATATAATTTATAGCTTACTTTTACGTTTATTTCACAACACAAACTGAAAATCGGCAGCATAGTCCTTCTATGACGCAAAACCGATGCTCAACCGTTCGTTTGGCAATTCTATACATGTATGTATACAACGATTTTTTCGTTTGTCGGATTTCAGAATGAATGACCTAAAGGAGTACCGACTTGCTGTAAAATTGTGTGTTGAACTTAAAAAATTACGACTAAAACATTTGCCATGCTCAACAGGGCTTATGATGATGTTGCAATAAAGCGTACGGCATGTTTTAGGGCATAAACATTTCAAGGGTAGTCGACAGATTGAAGACGATGAGAGTCCTGGACGTCCTTCCACGTCAACTGAAGACGTGTTCACCACGAGTACCTTCCCCAAGGCTCCACAGTAAACTAGACTTAAAACAATAAAGTTCTGAAACGTCTAAGGGACGCCATCCGTCGCAAAATGACAGAAATGTGAAGGCTTGGCGACTGGTTTTTCCATCACGACAATGCTCCAGCCAATTCAGCCCTCAGAACTCGTGAGTTTTTGGCCAAACACTCGATCACTGTTCTTCCCCACCCCCTCTACTCATCTGAACTTGCTCCTTGCGACTTTTTCTTGTTCCACAAACTCAAAAGACCATTTGAGAGGATTTCCGAGATTCAGCGAAATGCGACGAAGGAGCTGAAAGACATTACATATATTTGGAATGAGGGTGCAACGTTTGTGAAAGTGAGTGCAATGCAATTTAACATTATTTACTTTTTAAAGCAACTTATACTAACCACTTTTTAATGTATGAAATAAAGACTAACAAAAGCCAAATCTGCAATTGAGGCAAAACGCGCCAAACCTGCCACCTATCCTTAGCAAACAGAAAGACGTCATTAAGACGTTAAAATGTCGTCGCTGCAATGACGCACTGACGTCAGTAATGACGAGTTGTCGACGTGCTTATGTCTCATCATAATGACGTTATTCAATGACTAATTTAAGACGTAATCCAATGACTAATTTAGGACGTCATCCAATGATTAATGTAAGACGTCATCCAATGATTAATGTAAGACGTCATCCAATGACTAATTAAAGACGTCTTTATGACTATCAAACTGACGTTTATTTAACGTTAATTGTACGTATAGGGGTAAAGAAGGGTGGGGGTTACTAAAAAAAGGTAGGTACTAAAAAAATAATTTATTCTTATAAACATAATTTATGGGCTGATTCTGTGCAACCTGTAAGCAAATCTGTAACTTTTGTATACACTTAAATAGGCCATTATTCAGTATTCATGCATTTTTAGGAAAAATTATTTAAATATTTAAAACAACTAGTGTAAGAACCAAGTGTGAGAAAACATGTAAAACACAAGCAAGGGCAAAGGCCGTCTGCGAAGATTACAAACCCGACTGTTATTTTTCATGGAGGTAGTTTATAAAATGCTAATTAAAGTACATAAAGTACAAGTTAAGGCTTTAAATATAAGTACTTACAGATTAATAAGTAACAGCAACTGGAACAACAAAGAGCACTACTAACTACTCTTTGATATTAATGCGAACACAAACACTAGTGTATAATGGCCGTCATGGTTGTATCATACCTAATTACCTTAGTTACAAAAATCAACAGTAATTTAGTAACGTCAAATTGATAATTCGCATTGTTAATTGTCATTTTTGTAATTACGGTAAATTTAAACCAAATTTGGCAGGTTTTCATGGTCACACTGACGGTAAATACCTTTATATATAAAACAATTGTTTTTTTCTTCTAATGGTTTTTGATAAGTTAGGTTCTCTCCCTAACAAGCTTTTGGTTGGTCCAGATGGCATTCCTAATATAGTACTAAGACAATGCAGATATGCTCTGTCTCAATTTTTGTGCAAACTCTTATTTTTGTCTCTGTCTACTGGTATCTCCCCAGAGATATGGAAAGAGAGCTATATTTCTCCTATATTTAAATCTGGATCAAGGGAAGATGTTAAAAATTGTCGTAGTGTCTCTATACAGTCTTAAGACTTAAGTGACTAAACATCAAGCTGTCACACACCTTAGGAATTGAATTCAATTCCTAAGGTGTGTGACAGCTTGATGTTTAGTCACTTAAGCTGGCACTGCAAGGGAATTGTTATTGATGAACAGCATGGCTTCAGGGCTGGGAAATCCACAGTAACCAACTTGCTCGAGTATCATTGTAAGCTATCAGACGCGTTGGAGAGTGGAAATCAGGTTGATGCAGTTTATACTGACTTCTCCAAGGCGTTTGATAGGGTAAACCACCTTCTGCTGATAGGGAAGTTAAGTAATTTAGGCTTTTCGGATAGGTTAACCAGTTGGTTGCTTGGTTTCCTCAGTGATAGAAGTCAAAGAGTTAAAATTGGTAATTTTTTGTCCAAGGCGATCAAAGTCAGCTCTGGTGTTCCCCAAGGCGGACATTGCTCTCCCTTATTATTTAACCTATTTGTTAATGACCTCAAAAATCACATTAAGAACTGTGAGTTTCTAATGTTTGCGGATGATCTTAAGTTGTTTCGGATAGTGAGTAGTGATCTGGATGCTAGCTTGGTTCAAAGGGATCTTGATAGTCTCTCAACTTGGTGTGAGCAAAATTTGTTAAATTTAAATATCAATAAGTGTTTTCATATTTCGTTTTGCAAGAAAAAAAGGAGAATTAATACTTTTTATTCCATTAATGGGCAACAATTGTGTAGAATGGAAGAGGCCATGGATCTAGGAATACTGTTTGACTCTCGTTTAAGTGTCTCCAACCACACACATCAACTAGTTGTGAAAGCTAGCAGAATGTTGGGATTTACATTGAGGAATTATCAAGGTCTGTCTATAGATACAATGAGATCGGTATTTGTAGGGTTGGTTAGATCTCAACTTGAATATGGTTCAGTTATCTTGTCTCCACAATACAATGTGTATAAGGATTTGCTGGAAAGAGTTCAACACAAGTTTTTGAGATACTGTAATTTTAAATTTAACCTTAATATTATTGCTGACCATGATTATTCTGATATATTAGTTCATTTTGATTTATGTTCTTTGGAAAAGAGACGAACTATGTTCGACATATGTGTTCTTTTTAAATTATTAAATGGTATAATATGGTATAATATCTAGTCCATTTCTACTCTCTCAAATTAAATTTACTACACCACAAAGAATACTAAGACACAATAATTTATTTTTTATAAGTAATCATAG